CGTTGCGACAAACACAGTTGAGGTCTGTCCCAGCCTTTATACAGGTACCCTAGCTGTTTCGCTAACAGCTAACTGGCACAGCACCTCGTCGCACTCACTCTGGCCTTCGTCGGCCTCTCTACTCATTGCAGCATCTTTTGCAGCACTCGAATTCGGTTCTTCATCAAACCTGCTGCTGTCTTTAAACGTGCTAGCCTTCTCTAAAGCTCTGGGCTGCACCTCGCACTTCTCGTGCGCTACACTTGCGGATGGCTGAATCTTCCACCGCGTTGCCTCGACTTTTTGTTCCGACAGTTCAATCTCTAAGCTGAGTGCTCGCTCAAGCTCTTCACCTCGCTGCCGTTTTTCTATCTCCCATTTTCGCTCACTATTCACCTTGGTGCTATAAGAGACACGCGGACCTCTCTCAGGCTTGGTTTTAATACCAGCACACCGTCGCGCATTCTTCAACGGAGCGTTCGTGAGCTTGTACACAATTTGCTTTCGGTCAACTCTGATGCCGAAGCACCGCAGTAAGGCTGCCTTAGCTACATTGTAATTATTGAACTTCTCCTCGGAAAGGTACCTTATTCTGCCAATTAAGTCGCACGGAAAAACACTCAATAAGGGGATAGACCAATAGTCTTCGTCGAGCCCTAGGTCAGTGCAAACATTTTCATAAGAGGTTAGGTACATCTCTATATCCTCGCCCTCTTCGAATGCATGGATTCTCGAATTTACTTGAGACCATCTAAGGCACTGTATTGATCTTCTTGTCTCTTCCAGTTTTACCTTTAGGCTTTCCTTCCACTGCTCTCTCTCTTGCTCTCGCCTTTCCTGACGCTCCTGTTCCTCACGCCTTTCCTGACGCTCCTGTTGCTTTTGAATCTCGTTCCACGTTTTTTTAATATCTTCACTGCTCAGATTCAAGCCATCGATAGCGCCAACAATTGCGCGTTTCGTCATCCCCACATCTACTTCTCCCAGCTCCTCCCCCAGAATCAGGAGCTGATTCTTCAAGAAACGCTTCCAATCCATGACAGAGAACTAGTGTGATGCAGCTCACTCTCTACCCAGAAGTTCTGTAAATAACTGCTTCTGTGGTAGCCTCTACCAGTGAAAAGATTGCACTTCTATCTTATCAGCCTGGCAACCAAAAAACCAAAGCCAGCACTCACCAGTCCACACCTGCCAGTCTCCATGATCTCGGCATATTGTTCATTCTCCGTCCTCCAGGCTCACATCCAACCGCTTGCCATCCAGTTGTTAAGGTTTTGAAGGAAGGTCGCTGCTGATGGCATCCCACCGCTGCCACCAGTTGTTGCGCGTCGTGGCGACCGCAGTTTGCGGGTAGCGGGGCCGGTCGCCGTCGCTGCGTCGAGGCAAGGACTAGGGGAGAGCTTTGAGCAAACTTAACGGATTTATTCACATCTTTACAGTGAGTTGTCGAGACGAAGACAGAAGAGAAGAGCGTTGGACGAGGCACTGCACGCCCTTTTTGTTGACCCCCGTTCCCTAGGTCCCTAGGTTGGGGATCACTATTTAAAACAATGCGGACCAATGGTGATGTGGCAGTTCCTCTCAATGAGGTACCGCCCATCATGTCTGTTCATAGAGGCACAACACAGGCTTGCGCATACACACACACACACCCTTGCCACTAGTCGCAGCGCTGCCGTAGAACAGGGAGGGGGAGAGCGGAAGACGCACGGGCGCCTCGACCCCTTTGGTGCCGGCCTCGGGCTGCGTTCCCACGAGCAGATCTTAGCGCGCCTTTTCGAGAGGTGCCAGGTTCGTGGAATCCTCTGGGGAGAGCCCTTTGACCAGCGCCGTCGTCGTCTGCCGGTTAACGCGCTAACGATGCGTGGCCCAGGCGGGAGATAGAGCGGCCCCTCCAAAACCCCCTTTGGCAACATTCAACACAGTTGGCGCCGCTGTCAATCAGTAGGCGCCGTCTCGGCCTCTGTTGCTTCCTCCGTCCAGCCGTGGCGACACTGTCCTTTTGGCACTAATCCGGTGTGGCGAATGACCCGCTGGGTCAAGACATAGCTTGATCGCTACACCACGAACAAATCAATCGGTCGACTAAATTGGGGAGTTTTACGTGGTCGCATATTTAGACATATTTTATGCTTGTAAACAGGGGCAGGCACTGTGCACAGGCGCAGCAGTGACGTCGCTACGAACGCCAACACGAACAAACACGGGTGGCGCCCAGCCCAAAAAGCTCGCGATTGCTCTCTATGATCACGCCACAACTTGCACAGCAGCTGCAAAGTTACAATATAGCGCGAGCCTCTATAATGAACCTACGCGGATGCCCAGCACACTATACAAGCTTAGTCAGACGGATATAATTCGTTTAGCACGCGTGTGCACCGAGCTAGTCCAGGCGCTCTGAAATTTACTCCCAACGAGGGGACTTTTTCAGGCAACGTTTCAAGAACCAACGCTTACAAGGAAACTGACGCACACCAGCAATGCCGTATTTGGGAAACGACTGCAATTACAATATAAAAACGTGTCCAATTTAGCCGTAGCTCATTTCTATGTGCGCGGAATACAACTTCTTTTTCTTTCGTGTATTTAGTTGGAACAGCCGTGAATTTCGAAACATAGGTTCCTATTTGCATCAAATTGTAACCGCATTTATTTGTTTGCTAATACTGGCAGATGCTCATTTTACAGGCTGCCACAAGAAGCTATAATCGTCGTCTTGGAACGTGAGAATCTTCAAATTTACGCCCCTTCGGTTTCGTGTCGTGAATGCCATATAATTGTCAGCATAATATGTAGCTGTAATATATTTATTAATTTATTTATTTATTTACATATTTATTTATTTATTTATTCATTTATTTTTCGAATATTCTTTGGGCTTCCACATGTGTTATAGAAACAAACGAGTGGTGATGCATCTTTGAAAGTGCACTGCGGCAAAACAAAGACATGACTGAGAGTTAAGCGCTATCAGCGATTGGATACGTTTGTCGTACAATACATTGCACAACAAAGGGAAGTTCGCGCCGCGGAAGAGAGTCTTAAGTTTATTTGCACTAGATGGGATTACCTGTGTTAATGCGCTTGAAAAATGGAGTTCTAGCGCGCATATAAAATCAAAGATGTAAGTTCAAAATTCAAGAAATAACAAAGACAGAACCGTGAAATGTATCGCAGTTTAACCTGGGAATCATTTTCGAACATACACAACTAAGTAAGTTTCGCAGAAGGCATAATACCGCATCCAACTTGTGCCTTGGTGTAGAGATATGCATTCTTGCTCTCAAATCTTTCTTTCAGTAAGCTTCGAATGTGTATCTTTATAGGCACATAAAAATGAGCGCCAAATCGCAAACGTGATTCGCAAAGTAACGCAACACCGTCTTCCAGATCGTACAAATAAAACGCCACTTGCTGCAGGCCAACAACACTTTACGAGTATACGTTGCCGGCGCTGTTATTATGGCGGCCCGAAAAGTACCCTCCACGTGTGTCGGACGTTGACGGCACGTCGGTGTGGCGATGATGGATACGCGTCGACAGCAAACAACAAGATGACAGTGATGAGGTGGTGACCAATTACGGCGCTTAAGTGACGTCACCACGTTTTCAAGACAGCGTGAACTATGCATACACTTACGTTTCCCATTTGTCAAAAAAAAAAAAGGTGTGAGACCGATATAGATGAGCGTGGAACAGCATGCCTATACGGGACAGAAAGAAGCATACATGCCTAGTGCCACATATGTGTACTTTTTATAGCTTTCTGTGTCGTGTAGGCGCACTGTTTCATGCTAAGTACGTATAGAACTGTCCCGCCAACAATTAGTGTTCCAATATAGCTGTGGATTGTCAGTTATCTTTGTCAACCCACTCAAAGCTTGAGTGATTGGGTTCACGTATGGGAGATCAGCGTTAGCATTCACTGCAAGCATGTAGCTACTGCTTGCCCGAAGCAGGAAGAGGAGAAATCGGGCAATGCGTCAAGCAATCGGCAGTCAAGCAAACCTATGCATAAGACACATGGGCAAACTGCGAAGAGATTCTGTGGTTTTTCTGCAGCCGCATTCGCCCAGGGTACTGCCACACCTCTCGAGGTAGAGTGCGCCGATTTAAAGTGCGAGCACCTTTGTTTAATAGAAGGCAGTGGCAATCAACACGCTCACTGCACTTGTCATAGGCGCGCGTTGTGTCACGTCGCTTCTCCCCCACCCCTCTAATTCCGAGCCCCTCCAGCCACCCTGAAGTGCTTACGATCAGTGGAATGACAAAGCATTAGGGGGTGGCCGTAAGGGTTACAAATCCCCCTTCCTTTTTTGTTGTGAAGGGGGGGGGGGGGCACTTGCATATATTGTCAAGCATGGCTACGACAATAATCACGGTAAGCAGATATTATCATGTCACGATCATATACCGAAAACCACTGTTACTCATTCCTGGCGTCTCGGTTCTTCTCATACCATTTGCATGTGGGCGTTGTAGCCGCATATACGACAAAAAAAGGGCTCTTTATACAGTAATAGGTAAGCGGAAGTGGTTGCACACTCAAGGGAGTTTGAACCTTTGAAGCGGTCATCGCCAGAAAACTGTCATCTGGTTGGCTTGCTCTTACTGTCTTCAGTAAGTACGCTTGGTCGAGCATATTGTATATCATGCTCATAGCGCGCTTACTGTTTCTGATCTGCAAGTATCGTGGGCTCTTGACGTCCAAGAAACGAACAGAACGCCGGTTATATGACAGTTATTCGTGCGACGTTTATTTAGAGCGTATCGAGCGACCGCGCCTGGAAGCATGCTTGTTGCGTTTCGATGGGCGGCTACGCGCACAATACCAACACGCGCTTGGTGACGCGTGCATGCGGTCACGGCAAAGCCTGTTTCCGCTCGTCGAAACCCCCACGCGGACATCCCACACTCGCACCTCGTGTGCCCTCTGAACGCAACCCCCTCTCGTCACGGCTGCGCGCACGCGCGCAGCTGTAGCTGTGCGTTTTTAGCTGCCAAGGTCGGCGTCGCGAAAACCCGCACTCCGCTTTGCGCAGTGTGTTGGGTACCGTGTGTATCCGGCATCGCCGGTAGCGCCCGTTCAGTTTCTGCGCGAGCAACTGCGCAGGAACTCGGCGAAGTGTGCCCCGAAGCCTGTGTGAAAAGCGTTGCTCGCATCCATCGAGCGCTGGAGCTAACGGTGATAACCGACAGCTACGTCATCGGGCGTTTGCCCGATGAACGCGCGAGGCGGCAACAGCACATCAGGGAGTGTCATTTTCGGTGTGGTGTCCGTCGTGCGTCCCGAACACATGTGGATGCCGCGTGCCCTGTTGGTGGTCTGCGTCGTAGCGCTAATCATCGTGTCCTGCCTGGTCGGGCTCTATGTGGCGGGAATACTGCGACGACGCGGAATGTTCTCGCAAAGGGACCCTAATGGGCCGGTAAGGCTACTGTGTGTGTGTGTGTGTGTGTGTGTGTGTGTGTGTGTGTGTGTGTGTGTGTGTGTGTGTGTGTGTGTGTGTGTGTGTGTGTGGTGTGTGTGTGTGTGTGTGTGTGTGTGGTGTGTGTGTGTGTGTGTGTGTGTGTGTGTGTGTGGTGTGTGTGTGTGTGTGTGTGTTGTGTGTGTGTGTGTGTGTGTGTGTGTGTGTGTGTGTGTGTGTCGCGGTGGTCTAGTGGCTAAGGTACTCGGCTGTTGACCCCAGGTCTCTGGATCGAATCCCGGCTGCGGTGGCTACATTTCCGTTGAGGACGGTAATGTTGTAGGCCCATGTGCTCAGATTTGGGCACACGTTAAAGAACCCCAGGTGGTCTGAATTTCTGGAGTCCTTCCCTACAGGGTCTCTCATAATCATATGGTGGTTTTGGGACGTTAAACCCCGCATATCAATCAAATTGTGTGTGTGTGTGTGTGTGTGTGTGTGTGTGTGTGTGTGTGTGTGTGTGGTGTGTGTGTGTGTGTGTGTGTGTGTGTGTGTGTGTGTGTGTGTGTGTTGACTATCAGAGACGCCGTAGTGGATAAAGGGCTCCGGAAATTCGACCACCTGGGGTTCTTTAACGTGCACTCAAACGTGAGCCCTCGGGCCTACAGCATTTTCACCTCTATCGAAAAGGCAAGGTTACTCTTGACAGCCGTGGGCAGCTTAACTACATTGCTCAGGCCTCAGTGACTGACAGACGGTACTTCTTAGTACGTGCGGTGCTCTTCCTCCCTCTTCTCTTTCTCTTTTTTAGTCCCCATTCGCTTAGCGAAACGGACGCTCATCTGGTTAATTTCCTCTTCTTCCTTTCTATCTGGACCAGAACAATCCACACTGACCTTAATCTGACTTTGCATCCTGAGTAGTGATGACATGCGCGAGAAATGCTGCAGGAATCCGGAATTCGTCGCACAAAACATGTCGTTGGAACCATCGGTTCGACGAGGGGACCTGGTATTCGTCACGTGAATAAGAACTTTTCATATTGAAGAAAAAAAAAAGAATTATGAGCAGTTTTATTCTGGGAAGGGGATTTGCCAGTGAAGCCGTCTAGGACACGACGCAGGGTGGGCACAAAATTAGGATGAAGGCTACAGAAAGGCATGATTTCTTTATTTGAACTTAGCGTATGCTCCTGTAAAGCATTTGCACGTCGATTTGCAAGGACTAGAGGTGCAGCGCACGGCTTGGTTACCTATTTACTTTTTTATTAATGTATTTTTTTTATTTTTTTATACACACGTTTTCTTCTATTTATTTTCAGCAGAGCAGTAGTAAGTATTAGGCTTTGCCCAATTTTTGTGGCACATTCCTACTATATATAGAGTTTGCTGTTTAATTAGTTTCTCTTTCGCGAAGTTACGGGTGACCTATAGGTATATACAACTTCGCCGTATATTGGCTCGAACGACCTACCTTCTTCGACGACTTCACGCCAGCTTTAGCCGGAACTTTCCATTGAACTTCAGTCTTATTGGAAGGCTTGTCAGACAATGCTTTCTTCCGATGGTAGACTGAAGGGTTCATCACGCGTTAAGATTGCGCTGCAGTTTGCCTTGACTACGAGGTTATTGCGCTAATCATGTCAAATTATGCGTACCTACGTAGCGAGGCTCAGCAGACTCGGACGATTGCTCCTACACTCTTTCTATCTGGTGCCAGAAGCTGCGCCATAATTTTTCCACGAAGGGGGGGGGGGGGGAGCGAAGAGGCTAGGAACGTGTGTTGTGTTTTGACCATGCTTGCTCTTGGTGAGGGAAGAGGGGAAAGTGCACAGGGATGCAGACGGTAATTATGACTAGAAGCCCGCCTCTCCTTCCCCCCTCCCCACACTGGCGCCGCCCCACTGCCTCTTGAAGTATCCGCATGCTAAAGTTCACTGAAAATAGGGAAACAGCGTCGTGGTGCGTTTGGTTCTCTGAATAATCCTTCCACCAACGTTGATGCCTGAAACTACGTCACCAACCTTTACTTACAGGGTGGTAACAGCGGCTACCCGTCCGGCTACGAATTCGGATGGCAGCAAGCACCGCGGTGTACAACAAGTGGAACTCCAGTAGCCTACTCCTGTGCGGCGGCCACGCCGACGTGGCAGTATCCTGCGCCAAACGCATACGGAGCGCAGCAAGGATACTCTGGACAGCCGTGGGCAGCTCAGCAACACAGCTACCCGCCACCGTATTACCCGCCGGGAACTGCAGCGCCCAAGAACGTGGCCCCGCTGTACCCCGTTTAGAGCGTACCAAACTACCGCTAAGCCTTTGTGTTCCACATAAGTACCGCTTAGAAGCGGAAGTTTTGAAAGCATTTTTCACTCGTCGAATTTTTACGGCGTTTCTCGCGCTTATTCGCGGATGCAATTACAATTCCTTAGGACAGGTGCAGTTATACGCGTACTTATTTATGTGCATCTCAGGAATTTTATTTTATGTGAGACATTGCTCCATATACGTCGTGATTTTAGTAGAGTGCCATTGTATCCGGGGGGGTGGAAATTATTTGCCAAACTGATCCACTTTTTTTTGAGCCCAAATAGATTGAAGTTAAAGGGATACTGACACATAATTTTTCAGTTACATTTTTCCCTTTTTTTGCGTCGAATGATATTTCAAGCTCCTGAGGGCGTAGGAAATCTACCGATAAGCGCGGTTGCACCCGCAAAATTAATTACAGCACGCTTTTAAATGCACGTTTGGGTTTCTAATGTACGCTGACGTCACTACATGTAGAGTTACTGACGTCACTACATGTACAGTTACTGACGTCACTACATGTACAGTTACTACGTCAGTGTACGTAGAGTTCCTGAATGTACTACCTTTAGGTGGTATGGTTGCACGTACCTTTTTCCTTTCGCCGCTCATGCCGCTATTCGGCGAGCGCTGTCACGTGGTGCCAAGTGACGTCAAATGTTCAAATTCACGCGGCAAAGCCAACTTTAAGGGCACAACGGCGCGGCACCCACGCGTTCTCTGCCCGCGCCGACCAAGTTGCCGTCAGTCCCATCATCACCGCCATTAGCAGTCGTCGAGCGTTTCAGCGCGCATGCGCGCGTCGAGGGTGCTTTGTTAATGGGCTCCATACCTTGGCGAAGTGTTCGAAAGTTGAGTGCTGTGCACCTACTGCCGGCAGCTATTTGTCGTCCATACTGTCTATACCGTTGTACAAATAAAATCTAATTGAAAAGCTTTTGCGCCTCTGTCTGTTCCGCAGCATGAATTTAAAGATTTCAATTCACGGAGTTCCTTATTGTGTGCTAGGGTGGCTTGACGGCTAAGGTCAGCATGCATTCCAATGACGATTCGCTGTGATGTTGGTAACGTTCTCAGCCGACTTATTTCATGCTTGATTCACCTTTTGGTCTACCTCATGCACTGAGCCGACATGCGTTGTTTTCATAATTATCTTATTGGTGGTTTTGCTTTAATCTGCGTTCTTATTTTTATGAATTCATTCGGTGCCGTTTTAATGCAGTTGGGAATGATTTATTTCATATTTGTGGTACTAAATGACGCAATGCGAGTATTGCAAGCACTCGTGTTGTCGCCAGAAGACGGTATATTATCCTGTTCCAAAAGACGTATGAGACTTTTTGACCAGGTTATTAGAATTTGTGCTGCACAGAATGCGCGGTTCGCGTGGGCGTCTTAAATGTCCTTTTCGCCTCGCAGCCGAGGACCTTACCCCCGTACTCTAGAACGCCCCTTACCGATGAGAGCGCCATCTCTAGGCAGGGCAGGTCACTGCATATCAGTGATAAGTTGCTGCTATTCTTGAATAGCGCAGCGTCATTTTCAGCCGAGCAGCGGCGCCGTGCTCTACTTTGTCAAGTGAAGGGGGAAAGTCGAGTCGAGGAGCGCTTGTGAATACGGCGGTAAGTCACTGTTCTACCGGGGTGCACTTCTTTCTTTACCTTTCTGTTTATTCTTTCTTATCCGCAGAAGCCTGATCTATAGCCTTGCAAACACTTGGTATTTTTCACGACAATAGTACTTTTTTTGTTGAAATGTAATGACATTTACATTTTTATACAGCCGTCGTGTGCGTAGACGTCGTGTTTGTGGACGTGATGACTACGTCGCGGCAGAAATATTTTGTCGCAGCTAAAGTTAAACTGGAATGTGTGGTTGACAGAAATACGTTCACATTTTAATTATTAGGTTCGGGGCAGTTCATTATATACATAAATTGTTGTACGGAACAATTCGTGGCATGCCCATTTCTTCAAAAATTCCAAAACGCACATGCGATTTCAGATAGCAATGATCATAGTTTTAGGCCCCGAGTTTAGGTGATATCGAAACCAACGTCTTTAGATGAAAGGTTCATCGAAACTGAATGCGCATGGGTGCACAGCAAATGCATCATCTGTGCCACGTTACAACAAAGCTTCACTCAGCAAATTTTGTAAAAGATGCTTAGCGATATGATTACGTCAGGAAAAACGGCAAATTGGGTCAAATACACAAATTGAACGTTGATTTTTTTCGCATTTGGTGAGTAGTGCATATTTATTTATCTGCTGATTTTTGCACTACATTAGCCCGTGGCACTCGTTCGTGGTCTTTGGCGTCAATAATTTCACGGATAAGGAAAGAGGATTTCATTGTGATGATGGCCACAAAAACAGCTGCACCTTTAAATTCCTCTGAATCTTAAAAGGGATCAAAAATAGAGTTCACCAAATAACGTTGAAAAAGAGCGCTCCTGCTGCCTGTCGGCAGGCAGAAGAAAGAGCAACCATTATACATGATGTTTTTCCCGTTAGGTGGCACTGCCATTAAAAAAATATGCGTCGTACTTTGCAAAGTCAATCGCATAGAGCGCCATGGCCGATCTAGGCCGATCGATATGAAAGCGCAATAAGGCGGCTAGCCTTGAAAAAGCTGAAATAATAAAAAATAAAGAGTTTTCCATCATCTTTTCCAGAAGCGGTCTAGCTCTGCCATCTTTCAGACTGCAACCCAACTAAAACACAACATTGCTGCCTTCGAGACGGCTCGCGAGTTTTGGCTTGTACTCTCGGAGGCTCTGCGGCTCTCTCTGCCATAAATGATAGACGGCAGTTAGGGAGCACGCATTCTAAAGCCCCTTAAACGCATTCAACCGTCTTGGGAACGATACATCACCCATGCAGTAGTGCGTGGTCACTCCGGAATCCCATTTCCGATTCCTTTCCTAATAATAATGCCCGGGGCTTTAAATCCCAAAATAACTACATGGTAATGAGAGATGCCGTAGTGGACGCTCTAGAAATATTGACATTCCCGTGATATCCAACGTGCAGTGGCACCGCACAACACACGGGTCTCTACCATTTCGCCTTCCTTTAAGTGCGACCGCAACGTCCGGAATCGAACCCGCGAACTTTGGGTCAGCAGGCGAGCACCGTAGCCCCTGATCCACCGCCGTGGACTCAGATTTTTTTGTTCTTAACCCTTTCAAACGTTACTGATCAAAGTGCGCCAAGAGCTGTATGTATATGCGTCAAATTTAGAAACCTTCATGCGAATGCACTCAGTGTTTAATTGCAACGAAAATTCATGTTGATTTGCATTTTCAGCCATTAATGCCAATTGACTTTGTAATTAATAATATATTTGTGCTGAGGTCATTCATGTTCTTCATTGATTTGATTTCTGGGGTTTAACGTCCCGAAACCACCATATGATTATGAAAGACGCCGTAGTGAAGGGCTCCAGAAATTTAGACCACCTGCGGTTCTTTAACATGCACCCAAATCTGAGTACACGGGCCTACAACATTTCCGCCTCCATCGGAAACGCAGCCGCCACAGCCGGGATTTCATCCCGCAACCGGCGGGTCAGCAGCCGAGTACCTTAACCACTAGACCACCGTGGCGGGGCCATTCATGTTCTTGCATAAATAAAATCAGAACAGAGGCTAGAAATGCAGTTTCATTGCATTTTCAGTTATATCCAATTCGTGCATAAAAGCGAAAATTGAGACATCTTCGCGCTAATGGCACATTGGCACCTACGGCACATTCATTCTGTTGCACCTGCAAGCGTTGCTATGTTCTCGAGGCACCTCCCCATTTTTTTTTCGATGAGCCGCAGTATCGTTCAGACTTATCTAGGCTAATCAGTATATATCGCTAAGTGTGGTGTCTCGCAGTAGCAACCACGTTGCGGCATGGCAGAGCCACAATTGTGATATGCCTGCTGCCCGCACACCTCACAAATAACATGATCAAGCGATCGTCTGTGGAAGCATCTAGAGAAACGAACAAGTTACGCCAGAGGCCAACGGAGGACACGTGCATTCGCATTCTTCGTGAACCATGACACCATCGCGGGAAGGGTGACGTAGCTCACGCAGATAATACCGTCAAAACTACCCATAAACTCTCGGCGCTCTTCACCGCTTCCACGAAAAGCAGCAGTTATCAGTGTCGCTTCATGCACGTTCGCAGGAAGACGATTGCACGAAGACGAAGACGTTTCACGATCTGCATGGAACGTTAACACGTGACTGCCAGCGTCAAAGACTACGTCCCCGGATTCTTGCCGTTTTGAAAGCGTCTACTGCGTCGAAGCGCTGAGGTTTCTTCGGTCTTCCGCGAGTGTCACAGGCTATGGCAAGCCCGTCGTGTGGTCGTGCCGAGTCCGCCTCTGAAGTACTGTTGTACGTGTACGACCTGTCCAACGGAATGGTCAAGGCACTGTCCCCCGCCCTCATAGGCAAAGAACTTTCCGGCCTTTGGCACACGGGCATCGTCCTGCGTGGCACAGAGTACTACTTCGGCTGCTTGGGCGTCGACAGCTCCCCGGCGGGGAAGACCGGCCTCGGGGATCCGCACCGGATCGTCAGCCTCGGTCACACCGAGCTACCTCACGACGTCTGCGTGGAGTATATCCGAGACCTGGCCAGGTACAGCTACAGGCGCAGCTCGTATGACCTGTTCCGCCACAACTGCAACCATTTTTCCGAAGACCTGTCCTTGTTCCTGACCGGCAACTCCATACCGATGGATATTCGTGAACTGCCCGACGACTTCTTGAGCACGCCTATGGGAAACATGATGCATTCCTTCCAGCACATGTCGGACGAGGCCCTTAAGGCGCTAGAACAGCATTCTGTTCATGAACAACAACGAAACCCGCAGAGTCCTCGCCCACCACAATGAATGGACCGTCTCAAGCTCGCCATGGTAAGAGCACCGAAAGAGACGTCCCATGATCCTGGAACTGATGGGTATCTTAGAAACTTGCTAGCATTACTGAGTTGAATGCCTGTCGATTTTTTTTCACTGCACCGTTTATGTTAATTTATTGTGTGCGTTTGCCTGTGCACGTGCGCTCTTATCGAACAGACAATGCTTGGTTATAGGAAACAGCTCTGTGTCTTTATTGTACGGTACATAATAAAGACATATTCTGGGTTGGCCGTGTTTCATCGGTGCAGCGTACCGCGCAGAACTTTCGCAGACACGTTGTGGAGAGTGTTTTGCTTCCCTTTTCTTGACAATAAAATTTTTTTAAGTAAAACTACTGAGGTGATAGTACACCTGCCGTCTTATCACATGAACTGGATGATGAAATGCTTTGCCTCTGCCAAATTTTTAGATTCGCAGCAGCTTATGGCGAAGCTCAATCCGGTGGGCGTATACAACCACTTTTGCTGGCACTCGCAACGGCGAACCCAACTGACAGAACGCGCTAGCGCGTTTCGGTCCGTGTTAGGAGCTGGGTAAGACGCTGTGGCTTCTACCACTTACACACTGTCAGCAACCATGTGATGCCGTCGGGGAACGAGATTCCTCAAACGCGCGATTAACCCACGTTGTCCTGCGTCACGTGGCGATGAAGCCGTGAGGCATGCTCCAGCTATAGGGAGCGTTCATGTGCGCGTGTCGGAGCAATATTAAGACTACCAATGCGCTGCATGCTTCACATGCTAGGCATGGTACCCTTTAATGGGAGATGTAGTTTTTGACACGATTATCTGGTTAAAAATTTTGCTAAATAACTTTATTACGATAAACATGGGAATGATTGTTTATGCGAGACCGATAGTTGTACGAAGTTCTTATGGCCTACCTTTTTTTTAAAAAGGTATATTTAAAAATTGGCACGTTATGTGAGATAAGCATCATCGATTACTGGCATTGATGCTATATAATGTTGATGCCGTGCACATGCGGCTGTTGCATTAAGTTAGACCGTAACAACCCTTGAGAAAGAAATTGCGCGAACATCGAAAGCACTCGGTGCGTCACGGAAAGCTGGGAGTCAGACTTGCGTCAACAGATTGCCTTTCTTTAGCTCATGATGCATGGTGCTTATCAGTTGTTTTTTTTTCAGACTGTCTCTAAGAAAACCACAGTTTCAACCTTTTCCACTGTACAATCGTGCGAGCGTCGACAAAGAACTGCAACAGCGCCACGTCAGAAGCCGGCATAATGGCCAGTCCCCCGTAGTGGGCACAAGCCAAAGCCTATAGAAACAAGCTATATACAGTAAGCAAGAATACACTTTCGAAGAGAGTGTAGTATCATGCAAGCTTCACTCGCTCTTTTTGTTGTTCCTTAACCTGAAAACCTTCCCCATCTTGGGAAGCTGAATAAACAAAACAGGGCCAATCACCAGGTTTCACATACTTTCTAATTTTGTAATCACCTGCGAAGATAAGACCCTACGAAGAATGCATTTGATTGATATGGAGGGGGGGGGGGGAGCTTAACGTCCCGAAACCACCATATGCATTATGAGAAACGCTGTAGTGGAGGTCTCCCGAAACTTCGACCACCTGGGGTTCTTTAACGTGCACCCAAATCTGAGCACATGGGCCTACAGCATTTTCGCCTTCATCGAAAATGCAGCCGGGATTCGATACCGTGACCTGTGGGTCAGCAGCCGTGTACCTTAGCCACTATAGACCACCATGGCGGGGCGATGCCTTTGATCCCAACTAATGGAAGGCTCAAAATAGAGAGAAAGTGTGTAGAGCTCGTGGTAGGCGCGATGGTTGTAGCATGAAACAACCAACGAGGGGGAGAAGAATGCGCAATCTTGATCTCCCTGTTCCGAAAGTTATCGGGGCTCGCGCGATAACCCTTTTATCGCACACAGCTGTTCAGCGAGAAACTCGAGGGTTTCGTGCGGCACGCAGTGTAGAGAAACATACTTGAGTACAGAGTGGTCACACGAACCGCATAGCGGGCTTTGATGTATGGTTATCTTCCACATCACTTCAAAGATGGACAGCTTTCCATGCGTCCACTGACTTGCGTACATGCGGCGGGAGTGTTGAGGCGTTGAGAATGCGTTGATTACGTGCCACTGATTAGGCTCGCTTCACTTTTTACGGTGAGTTGTTTCTTTTTGTCTGAAAAAATGATTTTGTTCTTTGTCATGCTGAAAACGTCGTTATATTGTAGCGAAACGTCGGGGTTGTTCAAGTTAGGCGCATCGGACGACCAGGGAGACGAATAAGTGTGGTTGAAACTCCGCGGAGGGAATCGATGAGAAGTCAACACGATGAATTCGGGGAGCACTCATTGGGGGTTTATTTAGCTAACACAACTTCAAGTTACAAAATGCACTGGGTTACAAAGACAAAACATAGAAAGTGGTGGCATACCCCTCGGCCCGCATAGCTGGTCTCCCGTGGTGAGATCCGCCGTTGACCCCGACTCCGCTCCCCTCACTTTTCAAGTTCAAACATCCTCTTTTTAACCCTTGGTCGAACAAAGAGTCTTCAGAAAAACCAATCACATGTTGGGACTCGCAGCATCACAACCAATCACAGAAACACTTTCATAAAAGGCACTACATTTGTAAAAACCTCCTTACCAAAATGAAACACGCAAAGGGAAAGGTCCTCCGCACGTGACACTCTCTCCCATGCCAGGCCGAGCTGCCTCCTTCCGCCGACTATCGTCGGCGGCCGTTCCCACGCTCGGGCCCCGTAAGTTCTTTCATTAACTGTTGCTTTCTAGAAACGTCCTTAAGAGCGATGGGTACACCATTGCTTACCAGGTGTACATGCGACAGCGAGGTGCCCCGACATCCTAACAAGAGCGCGGGGGAATATGGTCGTTTACCGGCCGCCACTATGTCTCGGTCAGGCTAAGTGGTCGCGTCCCCATGTCATTCTCAATGACACGCGTGCCTGTTAACAATGGCTTAGACTCGGACGGTGGCGCCGGACCTGCCTATTGCTAGACGCTTTTCCTAGTAAGTTTTCCGCTTCTAATCCCGAACGGGGGCGACCTTGACTGCTCCGTTTTTAAGCCGTAAATGCAGCGTGTAGGCGCCTGTCCCAGGCTGGAAAACACGATTTGTCCCACATTCCATTAAAGTCAAAAGCCGAAGCTCTGTAATGGCCAGAGAAACAAACCCAAAGGTAGAAGAGTACAAAGAAAGACTTAAAAAAGAAGCAGAGGAGTTGGTTTTGCACAAATTTCCTGAGAAGATACTGGAGCTGGAAACCTTGCTCTCGCGACAATATGAAGACGTCTGGGAAGGACGTATAGCCGCATGTATTTATGGATAGAATACGCTTCATGAAGCTTGCTGCAGGGCTGGTTCTCGTGTAAAGCTTTACTTGGCACACTTCTTGTCGTGGCTGAAAGTTGAAACATTCTTTGAACAGCAAGGCCGTTTTTGGTCGAGCCTTTCATGTCCGGGACCCGTGGTAATGCTCGTGGGCATTATAAATGGGTATGCGCCGCAGACATTAAACGAATCTTACAACTCGCTTCTGGTGTCCGACCAATGCCCCCTCTAAACTTTGCCTGTGACGTGCCCCGAAACGCCGATTGACAGCCCTGTCGTGCTCCCGCCCCCTTCACTCCTCGAAATGGGTGTCGGCTGCGAGAGCTCGTTGTTATTGGCCACTTCAAACCTCGTTGTGGTGGCTGCTCCAAATCACGATGCCTCCGAGATTCAAGTAACGTGTACAGCAGTCCCAAAGGCAGCGTCAGCCGTGAACAGTGGCGCAATGAAAAAGTGGCACACGCCCCCCCCCCCCCCCCCCCTCCAATCTTTTAATCTTTTTCAACGTAGCAAACAATGCAAAAAATTACTACTTCATTAAGATGACCCCCCCCCCCCCCCCTCCGCCTCCCAGAAAAAAAATTCTGCCAACGCCTCTCGTGGGAGACGCTGCGCCAATGTTCTGATGGCGTCACTTCCGACCCTACCTGAAGTAGTGTCGGCTGCAAGCGCTGCTTGCGGAGACCTCTTGACCCAATGGAATAAGCGAGTGACGTCGCAGGCACTTAGTAAAGAAGGCATTAGACCAACAAACGGGTGTGTATCACAGAAACGTGTGCGGCCTACGAAAAAACTGTCATCATCACAAACTCGTATAGGTGCAGAGATTAGCTAAATCCCCCCTAAAACTTTCACTGAAGAGGAACAAAGCAACAGTTGGTAATTACCTTTACAAAACGGCGTGATCGTTACCATAGTTGTACCACTGTCACGCGATAACTTGTGTCATTAAAGGTGGCGTCTATACCAGCTCAAAGCTTAAAAACTTAGAAGAATATTGAACCGAAATCTGTAAATGCTGCGTAAATTGTGAAAATGTATTCCCAAAGTGCGATTACATCCAAAAGAAAAACGTCACTTAGCAAACTTCTAAGTGGGTGGTCGTATTTTCGATGTTCTTGTGAGCGTGCACCAAGACACTCGGCTTGCGTGTGTTGGAGCGTGACGTCACAACATCTTCGTTGGACAACGGGCCGCGGCCTTTTGAAGCACGTGCCGTCGCATAACTACGCAGCATGCATTCGTGTCGTGGGCATGAAGAATATCCTCCTTCGTCGTGGTCCACCGGCCAGCGATAAATCCACCTTCGATGATGCAGACTATTTGAACTTGCCAAGATATGACCGCTTACGAGTTCCTAGTCTCCCTCGCCAAGCGGAAATCAGGCTTTCCGGGCCAGCAACCGTGGTCCAACGTGCAGCGGCAGCTGTAGATAAATTAAATGTGGTCGTGAAAAGGTCATTCCTAAAGCACCAGCGTGAAACCGCCGACAGCCACACACGCTGTGACGTTTTAGTTGACGTCAGCCTATAACGGGTGTATATAGACCTGCATGGATGATTATCGTGGCAAAACGTCCATGCTCGATCAGCGTCGACGCAGGTCTACTCCCCCTAGGCTTGCGTCACCTAAAACGTTCATGTGGCTGTCAGCGGTTTCACATTGTCGTTTTAGGAGCGACATTTTACGACCCCTTTAAAGTTACGGAGGATCTAAAATACACGGTTTCCTCCGCTTTGCTGAGCCAGATGCAGTTACAACGTCTGAATTGAGGAATCGTAATTTGTGGCATTGCGTTTATCGATGTGGTCGGTGTTCTACAACTGCGCAGTTCATCATCGTTCGATGAGGCGCCGTATGTGCGTAATTTTTCTCGGCCATTTCATAGATATACACGTGCATACACGTGCATAGCTATGCTGTCACATCTACGAAACTATGTATACAAGCCATATACAAATTGAATTAATCGACATCGGTCGACTTCGTCGCGGTGGAGAGCCCGGAATGTTATAACGTAAGCCTCGTTATCGCGAATCACGGCTATTCTCACGCACAACTTTTCTTAGCAATGCAGCGAAGGTAGTACAGCCAAATCAAGCTTATCTTATACAGCTAAATTACGTAGTCCCACAATTGTGTCCTTATTTTCTGCGTTAAATATGAAAAAAATGCTGCCTTAGCACTTTCGGACCTGTAGGACACAACTCAACCAGTAAGACATTCATATTTGTCTAATGGTGTCCTCAATCGGCAGATTCGGAGCACTTCCGGTACTACTATCTTCTACTCTATGTGGCATTGGCAGATTGAGAATGCTCCCCATATGTTCCATTGGCAGATCTGGAGCAGCTCCATCGCGAGACCCACACCACGGAACTTTTTTTGCTCCGAGAAAATGGGTGGATTCGACCGGAAGTCGCAAGCGTCATCTGCCTTGAAGCGGTTCCAACTTTGGGCGCGCCAACGGACGCTGGTCGCGTAAGTTAATTGCACTTAGCGTCGGATCTCTCGTTTTGCTAGCGCAACGTCCCTGTGCCCATCGTGCCCTCTCATGCCAGGAGAGAGACGCGCGCACCGCGTTCTATTTTGACCTTGTCATTTGCTCCAGAAGGAGCGTGTGTTTTCCATTGGTGGATTCCCTTCTGTTGCCCTCCGCCAGAGTGGAGCGTTCCGGCACAGAGTTCATCGGCCACTCAGAATCTGCGAATTGATCACACCATTAATCTATATGCTGTCACACCGTGTTCTTGCCCGCATGACGAAGACGCGCCTTTTTCGTCTACCTCGAACGACAAGCAGCGTCTGCGTCGATATGAAACGCTGACCTGAAGCGCTGTCTCAAACCAAACGTAGAGCACGTGACATTTTTCCTGCGACAGAAGCCAAAGAAGAAGTAGGCCGTGCCGCGTGGCTTCATCGAACAGAGCAGGACTAAGACTCGTCTTGTAGTTCTGTGTGCGCTTGGAACTGTTGCCGCCTGTGAATCATCGTACGTACGAGTTTTTTTCCGGTTGAAGAGAGCGTTACAAGGCGTCTATAACGCATCCCTGAAGCAACCATTGGATTCCTTGAGCTCACCATGAGCGTTGGCGACATGGCGTTGGCGACATCACGAGGCAACGCCGAGTCCGGCTTCGAAGTGCTGCTCTATGTGTACGACCTGTCCAAAGGACTCGCCAAGAAACTGTCTCCCGCGCTACTCGGCAAAGAACTGCCCGGTGTGTGGCACACGAGCATCGTCGTGCGAGGCACGGAGTACTTCTTTGGCTCCACGGGCATCGACAGCTGTCCAGCGGGAAAGACCACTCTGCAGATCCCGGACCAGGTCATAAGCCTCGGTCGCACTGAGTTGCCCCACGACGTCTTTCTCGAGTACATCGACGAACTGGGCAAGTCCACCTATAAAGGTAGCACGTACAACCTGTTTCGCCACAATTGTAACAACTTCTCGCAAGACGTTGCTATGTTCCTCACCGGCAAGTCCATTCCGCGAGAAATCCTGGAACTTCCGGACGACTTCCTGCGCACGCCGATGGGCAACACGCTGGTGCCTTTCTTCGAGCGTCTCGCGATTAATGTGGACAAGGCGCCGGTACAAGGCTCTCCGGGCGGGGCACAGCAAAGCTCGAAGGCATCGCCCTCTCCAGAACGCTCGGACCGTTCGAAGCACAGCTCGTCACGCGGTAAGCCAACTGGAGAGACGTCTCCGGACGCCCGAAGTGACGAAAATGAAGACAAGAATGACAACGACCAGCCCGTCTACTACCCTGGGGTCGATGGCATGGCTTCTTTCAAGGAACTCGAAAAGCATCTCAAGAAAAGTACCATGACTGACCGCGAGAAGGCGCAGTTGGACCGTCTCCACGAGTACCTCGTGAATGGCAACGGAGCTTGGGCTCTGGGCCAGGAGCTGCTAGACGTCTTTGAAAAGCTGTTGATGTCACACGACGGAAACTGTGCCGTACGGCTGTCGCTACTGCGCGTGCTACAGGCGGCGGCGCTGTTCAAGGACGTCATCCTCTTCTTGCACCAGGATCGCAGGAAGCACGTCATCATGAGCTTCGTCAACCGGATCGCGACGCTCTCTCCTCAGGAGCAGGACGAAGTGCTCAAGCTTCTCTGCAACCTGTGCAGCCACGTGCCGGGCTGCGAGTGGCTACTGTACATCTCGGAGTGGCAGGAGGACGGAGGCGGCCGGCAGGTGTGCAGCAACGCCAAGGTCACCGTTCGAGCAGCGGTATGTGGGCTCCAATGCGGCCGCCGTCTCGCACAGGAGCTTGGCGCCGCGCTCGTCTTCAACCTCACCATGAGGGAGATGTTCGACGACGCGGCCAAGCAGCTGACGGAGGTCATTACGCAGTTTTTGAAGAACGACGTCAGCGAGGAACAGGCTTACCGCTGCTTGGCAGCCCTATATCGCCTTCTGAGGGTCAGCTACAATGAAGTGTCCGCCAAGGTCCAGAACATCTCGCCGTACCTGCAGAATCTGGCCGGTTCCTCGGAGCGTGTCAAGAGTCTGGTCACTCAGATACGCAACAAGATCTCGGCGCCGACAACAGTACCGAAGAAGTGATCGCTGCTGCAATAAATGAGTGTGCTAGAATTGTGCATGGCTCGGCATATAGCACAGCGCAATAGTTTCACTAGTAGTGTTGTGCATTACCGTATAGCCCAGCTATACGAAGCACTGTGGTAGTCAGATTTTGATAACGTGAGGAGCAAAAGAACATGAACAACGAGTCAAACTGATAAGAAATATGTACACCCTACTTGACTTTAGATTTAAAGGCTTATTTAATCAGTAAAATAATGTATACCTAATTCAGACCACTCATCAAGCACGCTTAGTTAGAATCGCCTAATTGTGTCACCTGAGCGTGGTGCCTGATCAACCATGGTCGGCCGTGTGGTTTTGCTGACAGCTGTGATTATTGTATTAAATGCGCAGCATTTTTTAGAGAACTTTGGCAACATTAAGCGTATCTATCTATCTATCTATCTATCTATCTATCTATCTATCTATCTATCTATCTAGCCGCCTACGACTTTTAGCTCTCCTGACCGTTTCCATGTTTCCATATGGTATTGGTACCAAAGTGGGTATGGCATAACATGACTGTATGGAGAACATATTTGACTAGTCGTAACATGAAAATCATGACATGTATGTCATAAATGTCATGATTTACAATTTCATAGTCCTGCAGCTCGTGCGATGGTTTCGTTCACATGGCATGTTGCAAAACTAGTATGGTATGACATGATTGCATGGTGAACACAATCGAGAGCCCTAACATGAAAATCATGGACATGCGTGTCATGTAACATGGACTACATGCCACGCTCATGATACGCTCGCAGCTGTTTCCTAGCGTCACATATACTAAATTTGTATTACGGTAAATGAATGGATGACGAAGGTATGCGACTGGTGCAAGCATGATAATCATTAGATGTGTACCATGCAACAACAAGACTACATGCCATGCTCATGATGCGCTGGCGGCCGTTTCACTAGCTTCACCCATACCAAATTTGTATATTACGGTACATGAATGGATGATGAAGGTATGATACGGTGCAACCATGATTATCATGAGATGCGTGTCATGCGAGACATGACTATACGTGCACAGTCAAGGCGCCAATGCATTTTGGACGTGACGTGGTGGGCGTGCTCGCGGCGTTCATTTCGTCACGTCACGCCAGGCGCTGGTCCTGCCATATACTCGCAGGCGGCGCGCTGCGCTGCGGTTGCTTTGACACACGCGCGTTGCAGCGCGCCCCAGCGTCCCTCCGTTACGAAAAGAGGGAGACGCAGTGTTGTCTGCGTAAACATCGGCGCGAATGCAGCATGTCGCAATTCACGCCGGTTGCCGTCGGGCCGCGCGAAGGACGCTGGTCGCGGCCTGGCGTCAGACTATAGAGTGCTCGCGTTTTTGCTACACGTAACGTCGCTGTGCCCAGCGTGAGCGTGAGTCAACGCTACCATTCGAGTATATTAATCCCTTCATGACGCGCTCGCGGCCGCTTTTCTAGCTCTACATATACCAAATTCGGTGTTACGTGACCGTCAGTGGATGACGAAAGTATTGACTGGTGCAAACATGGTAATCCTGACAAGCATGTCACGTAAGAACATGACAACATCTCATGCTCATAGCGTGCTTATAGCGTGCTCATGCCACGCTCATAGCGGCCGTTCGCTGGCTCCACATATACTAAATTCGCTATCACGTGACGATAATAAATGACGAAGGTAAACGGCACATCCAAACATGATAATCATGACACGGAAGTCATGTACGTCACCTCGTAATGCTGTGCTGATTTTGAAGGCACATATCAACATTTCTCATTCGTGCTTCGCATATCATCGATTCCCACTGTACGTGGGATCTGCCAATTTTTATATATCCAATTTGTCTACTCGCGAAGCCTCTGAAGCATGCGAGAGTATAGCAAATCAATTAAATGTGTGGAAAACTGCTTGCAATCGGCCAACAGTATCACGAGCAGTCATGTCGCTTATCAATCGGAAACATACAGTTGACTACATCGGCCATTTACATGAAGGCTCGGTTCTTAAATCCATTAAGTAAGATCCAGTGATGAACGGATCACGGAGAGGACTAGAAAATTGTCCAAAATGCCGAGAAGTAGCGACCACGCATTAGGACGTATATTATTTTTCTCAATGTATCGTTCTCCAAGCAGGTACTTTTTACAGATATGTACCATATGTATATAAGTGATATTAGATGCACCTCAACCATCCCAGAATTTATGCGAGAAATACGATGGACGGATTATGCAACTATAAAGAAAGAAATGACACAGGTGGTCAAGTATCAGTAAACATTTATTTAAAAAAAAGCAGACGTTGCTAGAGAGGACCAGACCTCTAGTAGGTCAGACCTCCCTGCAGTACTTGGTGGAGTCCTTATAGTCAGAGACCCCATTTGTCGGGGCCACTGTCCTGGCACGCTGGACCATGGTCTTGGGGCCGCAAGGTCCTGGCAACCGAGCAGGGCCGCCTCCCAGTCCTCTCTGTTGGATTGGGTTCGAGGGTAAAGAAGGATTGAGCTGACATGCCCATACCGTGTGGTAGGTGTCGGCCACCCTCCGCTCAGTACTGGCAGAGGCCGAAAAAGGAAGAGTCAAAGTTTTAGACACTGCCGGGCACAGTAAGTATTCGTAAATCAATGTGCTCGCAGATTGTTAGTTCTGCTGTGCTAGCCCGACAGATAAATTGAACGCTAAATAACTGCTCTAAATTGTTGAAGCCAACGCCAACCATAATGCAGACTGACCAGCGACAATAACATGAACTACAGATAATCATTCCCTCTTATCGAAACAGTAAACATTCTGATTTACATTAGCGTGTTTCCAGATAGCGTTTGGCTATAGTTTATATATAGTTTTGACGAGTTAAATGACAATTGAGAACCTCGCCTGACTGAGGGATGCATCAACGCGACCGTTTCACTCAAAACGTGGATAGTCCACGCTTTTGCCAGCATGATGTCAAACGACTAACACTACAGCAACTTTTATTCCTATGTGATCATTCCTACTTCAGGCGTGCAGTGTCAATTCTCTTCTAATCCTGAGCGCAGGCCAGCTTGTCAATCACACAAGTAACGCCTGTGTACGAGCCGTATAATATGCACATTTTTGTCCTTACACGTCAATATCGTCCTTAGGGGGAGAAAATTCAGTCTGACCACGGGGTAAATACACATACTTCACACACGCTCGCAAAATCTGAAGTCCATGGACAGATGCCCCTCCCCCGCGCAAACCAATGTGCAATAACTTTCTAGAAGAAGTGGTGATAAGTTGGCCGTCATGTAACACGTTTTATGCGGTCACTGCACTCGAACGGAACTCTACCGTCACCTATACTCAAAGGTTAACACGATTCCACTTAAAGGTTTTGAATCACTTTTCGAGAGACGCATCAACAGCACTTCGACCACCGGTTAAATTAGAGTGAGAGTAGCTTTCTTTTATTCACTTTTATTTTGTTTTTAATATCAGCAATCAAAAGCTCGTTGAACTGAACTACAATGAAATTTTCATTCCGGGAGTTCTACGGTAAACACAATCTCGGTTAAACCTTATGTCTTCTCCATACAAGAAAGGAAGCGGCGTAAGGATCAGTGTCCACCGAGTCATTATCTACGAGACATCGAGTCCACAGCATCTCTTGCCAGCGTAATCTCTTCGCTTGACGTAAGTTAGGTCGACGACGAGAAAATTTACGCAACCCGTGGACCAATCAACGCATTGTCACGTCCAATCACCCGGCAAGCTACGCGATAAATTTCGAATGACGGGCACATCGACGCTTCGTCTTGGCTGTGTTTCCGCTGCGTCATTGGTAGAGCCACGTCACGAACTACGCAATCATCTCGGCCTCAAATCGGCAGGTGGCATGGCCTTGCCAATGAAAGGGGCACCACGTCACTGGCCTAACCACGCGACAACGTCCCGGATGACCCAGTGACGCCTCAGCGGCCGTTCGCCCATCGTGTCACGTGAGGAATGCAAGGAGGCAGTAGACGAACATGTTGACCATGGACATCAACACGACCCGGTAGCGCACGGCCTCGCGTGCCATGCCGTCGTTGTGCGTGACGAGGTACACGAGCACGGTGAGGTACGCCACCGAGGCGACCACGTAGTGGAGCCGGCAGGCGTGACGGTACGCCGACGAGGACTGCAGTCCCGGCGACGTGAGGTGGACGAACGTCGTGAGGGGCGTCGTGTAGGCCGCGATCAGGACGAAGGCGAGCGTGTAGGCGCTGAAGATGCACACGCCGAATCCGCGGGCGTAGTGCGAGTTCAGGGCTTCTGCCAGAGATCCCGCGCCCAGCAGGATGGCCAGGAGTTCGACCTTGGCCGCCGAGGGTGCCAGCCGGGACGTCATGGCGGGACTGCTTGGTTTTGCACTACGAAGGTGACGTCGGCGGAGGACCGGGACCCATAGCGGTGATCGCGGTCACCCAGTGACTTATAGGCCACGTGATGGTGGTGGGTATGATGATGATGATGATGATGATGCTCCTGGCATTGTTGGCACCTACCCATTCCGGGGGATTGGCCAACAGTCAGGTGCATCATATTGTCAGATTTTTTAAGTACTTATAGAAGTCACAAGGTCAATCAGAAACAACAGTTATTTTTAATGGATCTTCATTCGAATGCAACGAAACACTGCTGCTAAACCTCTCAGAGGAACCAAAATCAATTTCGGCACCTGTATTCTCTCCCTACCTAGTGGGCAAGCTGCGAGAAGTGGGTCCAAAGGTAGAGTAAATAGATGGATGGACAAGCCGGATCACTAAAAAAAGGCGCGAGCTTATGCGCGTTTATTATTTAAATACGATGTTCCTCTTAAGTATATGGTGATATATGGTAATATATTTGACGTCAATACCCGCTTACTGATCTGAACTCAACTTGTATATATACCGAGTCGAAGGTTTCTTTACCTGCCTATCGTACTTCCTCTAATACTAGAATTAGTTGCTAATTATTACAGCGATTTCCAATAATACCGTA